ACTGTACACTACTGTACTACTACTGTACTGCTACTGTACTACTACTGTACTGCTACTGTACTACTACTGTACTACTACTGTACTACTACTGTACTACTACTGTACTACTACTGTACTGCTACTGTACTACTACTGTACTACTACTGTACTACTACTGTACTACTACTCTACTACTACTGTACTGTTACTGTACTACTACTGTACTACTACTGTACTACTACTGTACTGCTACTGTACTACTACTGTACTACTACTGTACTACTACTGTACTGTTACTGTACTACTACTGTACTACTGTAATACTACTGTACTGCTACTGTACTACTACTGTACTACTACTGTACTACTACTGTACTACTACTGTACTTACTACTGTACTACTATTGTACTACTGTACTACTACTGTACTACTACTGTACTACTACTGTACTACTACTGTACTACTACTGTACTACTATTGTACTACTGTACTGCTACTGTACTACTACTGTACTACTACTGTACTACTACTGTACTGCTACTGTACTACTACTGTACTACTACTGTACTACTACTGTACTACTACTGTACTACTACTGTACTACTATTGTACTACTATTGTACTACTACTGTACTACTACTGTACTACTATTGTACTACTGTACTGCTACTGTACTACTACTGTACTACTACTGTACTACTACTAGCTACTGCTACTGTACTACTACTGTACTACTACTGTACTGCTACTGTACTACTACTGTACTACTACTGTACTACTACTGTACTACTACTGTACTACTACTGTACTACTACTGTACTAGTACTGTACTACTATTGTACTACTGTACTGCTACTGTACTACTACTGTACTACTACTGTACTACTACTGTACTACTACTGTACTACTACTGTACTGCTACTGTACTACTACTGTACTACTACTGTACTACTATACTACTACTGTACTACTGTTGTACTACTGTACTGCTACTGTACTACTACTGTACTACTACTGTACTACTACTGTACTACTACTGTACTACTACTGTACTGCTACTGTACTACTACTGTACTACTACTGTACTACTATTGTACTACTATACTGCTACTGTACTACTACTGTACTACTACTGTACTACTACTGTACTACTACTGTACTACTACTGTACTGCTACTGTACTGCTACTGTACTACTACTGTACTACTACTGTACTACTACCTACTACTACTGTACTACTACTGTCACATACTGTACTACTACTGTACTACTATTGTACTACTACGACTACTACTGTACTACTACTGTACACTACTATTGTACTACTGTACTGCTACTGTACTACTACTGTACTACTACTGTTACTGCTACTGTACTACTACTGTACTACTACTGTACTGCTACTGTACTACTACTGTACTACTACTGTACTACTACTGTACTACTACTGTACTACTACTGTACTACTACTGTACTACTATTGTACTACTGTACTGCTACTGTACTACTATTGTACTACTACTGTACTACTACTGTACTACTACTGTACTACTACTGTACTGCTACTGTACTACTACTGTATACTACTGTACTACTACTGTACTCCTACTGTACTACTACTGTACTGCTACTGTACTACTACTGTACTACTACTGTACTACTACTGTACTACTACTGTACTGCTACTGTACTACTACTGTACTGCTACTGTACTACTAACTGTTACTAACTACTGTACTACTACTGTACTGCTACTGTACTACTATACTACTACTGTACTACTACTGTACTACTACTGTACTACTACTGTACTACTACTGTACTACTACTGTACTGCTACTGTACTACTACTGTACTACTACTGTACTACTACTGTACTACTACTGTACTACTACAGTACTACTACTGTACTACTACTGTACTACTACTGTACTACTACTGTACTACTACTGTACTACTACTGTACTACTACTGTACTACTACTGTACTACTGCTGTACTACTACTGTACTACTATACTACTACTATACTACTACTGTACTACTACTGTACTACTGTACTGCTACTGTACTACTGTACTACTACTGTACTACTACTGTACTGCTTCTGTACTGCTTCTGTACTACTACTGTACTGCTACTGCACTGCTGCTGCTGCTGCTACTGCTGCTGCTACTGTACTACTACTGTACTACTACTGTACTGCTACTGTACTGCTACTGTACTGCTACTGTACTGCTACTGTACTACTACTGTACTGCTACTGTACTGCTACTGTACTACTACTGTACTGCTACTGTACTGCTACTGTACTGCTACTGTACTACTACTGTACTGCTACTGTACTGCTACTGTACTGCTACTGTACTGCTACTGTACTACTACTCTACTACTACTGTACTGCTACTGTACTACTACTGTACTGCTTCTGTACTGCTACTGTACTACTACTCTACTACTACTGTACTACTACTGTACTACTACTGTACTGCTTCTGTACTGCTTCTGTACTGCTACTGTACTGCTACTGTACTACTACTGTACTACTACTGTACTGCTTCTGTACTGCTTCTGTACTGCTACTGTACTACTACTGTACTACTACTGTACTGCTTCTGTACTGCTACTGTACTACTACTGTACTACTACTGTACTACTACTGTACTGCTTCTGTACTACTTCTGTACTGCTACTGTACTACTACTGTACTACTACTGTACTACTACTGTACTACTACTGTACTACTACTGTACTACTACTGTACTGCTTCTGTACTGCTTCTGTACTACTACTGTACTGCTTCTGTACTGCTACTGTGCTGCTACTGCTGCTGCTACTGCTGGTGGTACTGCTGCTGCTGCTACTGCTGCTGCTGCTGCTGCTGCTGCTGATGCTCCTGCTCCTGCTGCTCCTGCTGCTGCTACTGCTGCTTCTGCTACTGCTGCTGCTGCTGCTCCTGCTGCTCCTGCTGCTGCTGCTCCTGCTGCTGCTCCTGCTGCTGCTGCTGCTGCTGCTCCTGCTGCTGCTGCTGCTGATGCTGCTGCTGCTCCTGCTGCTGCTGCTGCTCCTGCTGCTGCTCCTGCTGCTGCTGCTGCTGCTGCTCCTGCTGCTGCTGCTGCTCCTGCTGCTGCTGCTGCTCTTGCTGCTGCTGCTGCTCTTGCTGCTGCTGCTGCTGCTCCTGCTGCTGCTGCTGCTCCTGCTGCTGCTGCTGCTCCTGCTGCTGCTGCTGCTGCTGCTTCTGCTCCTGCTGCTTGCTCCTGCTGCTGCTGCTGCTACCTGCTGCTGCTGCTGCTCCTGCTGCTGCTGCTGCTGCTGCTGCTGCTGCTGCTGCTGCTCCTGCTGCTGCTGCTGCTGCTGCTGCTGCTGCTGCTGCTGCTGCTGCTGCTGCTGCTGCTCCTGCTGCTGTTGCTGCTGCTGCTCCTGCTGCTGCTGCTGCTGCTGCTCCTGCTGCTGCTCCTGCTGCTGCTCCTACGCTGCTGCTGCTCCTGCTGGCTGCTGCTGTCGCTGCTCCTGCTGCTGGGCTGCTGCTCCTGCTGCTGCTGCTCCTGCTGCTGCTGCTGCTGCTGCTGCTGCTGCTGCTCCTCGCTGCTGCTGCTGCTGCTGCTGCTCCTGTTGCTGCTGCTGCTCCTGCTGCTGCTGCTGCTGCTGCTCCTGCTGCTGCTGCTCCTGCTGCCACTGCTGCTGCTGCTGCTGCTGCTGCTGCTGCTGCTGCTGCTGCTGCTGCTGCTGCTGCTGCTGCTGCTGCTACTGCTGCTGCTGCTCCTGCTTGCTACTGCTGCTGCTGCTGCTGCTGCTGCTGCTGCTGCTACTGCTGCTGCTGCTGCTGCTGCTCCTGCTGCTACTGCTGCTGCTGCTGCTGCTGCTGCTGCTGCTACTGCTGCTGCTGCTGCTGCTGCTGCTGCTGCTGCTGCTGCTCCTGCTGCTGCTGCTGCTGCTGCTGCTGCTGCTACTACTGCTGCTGCTGCTGCTCCTGCTGCTGCTGCTGCTGCTGCTGCTACTGCTGCTGCTGCTGCTGCTGCTACTGCTGCTGCTGCTGCTGCTGCTGCTGCTGCTGCTGCTGCTGCTGCTCCTGCTGCTCCTGCTGCTGCTCCTGCTGCTGCTGCTGCTGCTGCTCCTGCTGCTGCTCCTGCTGCTGCTGCTGCTGCTGCTGCTGCTCCTGCTGCTGCTGCTGCTGCTGTTGCTGCTGCTGCTGCTGCTGCTAATTACGATAATTTATGGAACTAAGATTGTTTTGAAGGTCGATCAGACCACGGGGATCCTCAGAGTGTACTGAGGAACCATTACTTTAAGAACTCAGTGCCACATTTTATTGTCACTGTGACAGTGATGTTGAGTGATTTTGTCATAGCAAGTGGTAAAGAAAAGTTGTTTTTGTTAGCCGAGATGTTTATCCTTCATGACAGGATAGAGTTCCACTCTAAAGACAACTTTATTTTCAACACCACAAAGCAAGGTTCTCCTTATATAAATAACCCGCACGTATAGGAGAGAAACTTATAACGACGTTTCGGTCGTCATAAACTTTCTATGTTCGAGATATTTGTGTATTGTTCCAGTCACGGTATTGTGCCTCTTTGTTCCTTAAGGTTCTCCTTTACAGTGATATGTTACCCCCAAAATAAAGACTTGTTTTCCTACACATGTCTGTCTTTATTAGTGTCTGCTGTGCCGACCTTCAGCTAACTTTATTCTTGGTGAATAAGACACTTGTGCAACACTTGGGAATCTTCTGGAAACGTTTCGTCAGTCAGTGGCGTCTTCAGTCCTATGCAGAGAATGGGTAGGACATGAGGAACTCAATCCCTCAGCCTGGATTGATAGACTGAACACATCGACTCCAGGCTGAGGGAATAATTACCTCAGACACCTCCTCATGTTCCACCGTTGTCTGCATTGGACTGAAGAAGCCACTGGCTGCCGAAACGTTTCCAGAAGAAAGATTCCCAAGTGTTGCGCAAGCCTTATTCATCATCTTGTCGGTTTTCCAAACCATCTATTCAAACTTTATTCTTGACCACACAGGTTCGACACTACAGGTTACGACTGTGACATCCTGCAGGAAGCTATTAAAAGATACATCAGTATCATCTTCCCCTCGTCTGACGTCATGAAGGTACGCCCACTGCACGCAACTGTTTATATAGCGTGTCTCAACCCTAATTTTTAAAGGGGTGATCCGGTAAGCCAGAGGAAGGCCCCGGTCTGATGGCCAAAGTTCCAGCGGCTGGACTAAGACCCGCGTCAAGAAACACTTGTCCTGTTTCCTGACGAACATTACCTAACCTAACCTGTTGTGTCTTGACCATGTAACTATTGTGCTTCTGCCCCTTAATCTGTATTGTGTTGCTGCTCCTTAAAGCAGAGAAGACCTGTATTTCTCTCACTATCCTCAACTATTTTTGTTTGCTCTTCTGTCAGAAAGGTAAAAAGCAGCCGTGGCGTAAGGACGCAGGTTTCGTTAGCTACTTAGACAGCCTGCAGGTGAACCTCATGGCTGAATGTGAAGATTATCCTCACCAGAACATGGACGAACACTACCAGATCGAGGTCAGAATGGCTTAACTCATGTCGGTCTTGATAATTTATGGCACTTCTGTAATTTAAGAGTTACTTAATTATATTAAGGTAAGTAAGTTAATCATGAGTGATTTTTATGTTGTCATTCGCATCAGCACGAGATTATGGTTTATCTTAAAGTCAAGTATGAAATTAACATGGATTAAAAGCTCAAGGTAATGTAAAAAAAAGAAAAGTAAATTTAAATAATGTTCATTTGAAATGAAGCTCGCTTTTAAAGTCCGAGAAGGAGCTTTGAGGATGTGGGAGAGAGATGTGATACTTGCACAATAGCTGACATGTTAAGTTCAATAGTGAGAGTTCTCATTAATGATTCAGTATGATAAGAACGTAAGAGAGAAGGAACACTGCAGCATGCCTATTGACCCATGCGAGGCAGGTTCCCCTACAGGCTTAAGCCAGTGCCCTAACCTAGTCAGGTCAAGTCACATTCACTTAAGGAAAGAGCACGGCATCTGACCTAGTAGTACAAGATAGTCAAGTCCAACTCACACCCACCCACAACCACTCGTGTATTCATGTAACCTATTTTTAAACCTACACAACGTCTTAGCTTCTATGACGGTACTCGGGAGTTTGTTCCACTCATCCACAACTCTATTACCAAGCCATGGCATTCCTATATTCTTCCTGAATCTGATTTTTTCCAGCTTCCAGCAATTGCTGCGAATCCTGTCTAGGCTAGATATTTTTAGCACGCTATTTACATCCCCTTTATTAATTCCTGTTTTCCATTTCTACACCTCAATCATATCTTCCCTAATTCTACGCCTTTCTAGAGAGTGCAGATTCAGGGCCCTTAGTCTATCCTCATAGGGAAGATTTCTAATACATGGGATCAACTTTGTCATCCTCCTTTGTACGTTTTCCAGTGTATTTATATTCATTCTGTAATACGGTGACCAAAACTGTGCAGCATAACCTAAATGAGGCCTAACCAAAGATATATAGAGTTGAAGAACAACCTGAGGACTCCTATTATATAAACTTCTTGATATGAAGCCAAGGATTCTATTAGCTTTTTTGTGAACACTTATGCACTGTTGTCTTGGTTTCAGATTACTGCTAACCAAAACTCCTAAATCCTTTTCGCAAACAGTAATATTAAGATCTACATTATTTAGTTTATATGGTGGCATGGTTATTTTCCTGTCCAACATTTAGAGCTTTGCATTTGTCTGTATTAAACTGCATTTGCCACTTCTCCGACCACTTCATCAGTTTATTCAAATCATCCTGGAGTGCTCTAATGTCCTCATTACAATGAACTGGACGGCCTATTTTGGTGTCATCAGCAAGTTTACTCATGTCACTATTTATTCCCTCATCTATGTCGTTTATGTAAATTGTGAACAACAAGGGGCCCAACACTGACCCCGGTGGAACATCGCTTGTGACGTGCCCCAATTCTGATTTCTCCCAATTGATGCAAACTCTCTGCTGCCTATTCGTTAACCATACCCAGGAAAAAATTTCTTCTCCTATTCCGTGTGCTTTATGTTTCCTTAATAGCCTCTGATGTGGAACTCTATCGAAAGCCTTACTGAAGTCAACATACACAATATCATATTCAGTACCATGATCTACCTTCTCAAATACCTTAGTGAAAAAGTTAGTAAATTCGTAAGACAGGAACGCCCCTTTGTAAAACCGTGCTGAGATTCATTAATCAATTTATGCCTTTCAAGATGGCTACGAATTGCCTCGGCAATTATTGATTCCATGAATTTTCCCACTATGGAGGTAAGGCTTATTGGTCAATAATTCGAAGCTAAGGACCTGTCACCTGCCTAGTAAATAGGTATTACATTTGCCATTTTCCACTTGTCTGGTACTATGCCGGTTTGTAGTGATATATTAAAAAGATATCACTAAGTTGAGTACAAGTTACCGTCAGTGTGGTTCCTAGGCTTGTGCCTGCCGTACAAGAGTAAACCAATGATAGTTATTAATTGTGAGAAAGTATGTGTATGAAGTTTACAGGCACAATCCTGAATTATTACACACACACATAATTTGGGGAAGGTACAACTAAAACAAACATAACATTTACTGATATTAGTTGTACCTCAGAGATAGGTGGGACCTTACGTAAAGTGGGTCACAGCACTGTCTCTCCTTCGATGCTCACCTCCTCATCACATACACACATAGATATGAATTATTAAATTTAAACCAGTAACACTGACGAATGTGTTTGTGCATAAATTACATATATCAATTTTATATTGCATAATAAGTGCATCATTATATAAATTTTAATAAACACTTACCCAGATATTTCTTGGGTCTCACATCCTAACGCTTCCTTAAGAGACAAATATGCTAGTGGTTGGCCAACATAGAATTAACTGGAAAGCTTACATACATGAGGTGTGCCACGTTCCATGTTCTATTATGGCTGAATCACTCTTGAATTTCTCACTCAAAATTATTTCGTAGTCCTCCATTCACGCTGACGCACTCCTTATCGGACGTGATTAAAACTAATTTTTGTTCTCTCTCCAAATGGTATTATACTACGTCATATTTCAACGTCACCTTAACCTGTCTGTCTGTTCTCTCGTGGCTAGAAAAATTTTTAAGAGTCACATCAACACCACATTTTTTAAACAATATTACATTATTCAATATTTACACACTAATTTCAGGAAAATTAGAAGAAAACATTCCACATTAGCTATGTATGTAGCGCGTGCCAATGTTTGTTAATATAATAACGTTCATGGCATCGTAACATTTGATCTCTAGTAAGTTTTTTTTATTGAATCTGTAAACCATCTGTGTACAGTGTTGCCCATTGTAAATGAACTGTTAGTGTTAATGGTAATAATTGTATATGAAGAGAATACCATTTACGTCACTCATAGCACAGATTAGTTTGTGTTTTCCATTAATAATTAGGCACAACATTTTAACGCAATACCGACCGACAGATTAACAATGAAGACGCTGGGTCAGTAGGTAGCCTAGTCTCTCAGAGCATCTGGGGCATCCTGAGGGGACTAGATACATTCTCCCAGCTGCTGATACCTGATGGTTCAGACTATATTATTAACTGCACCAAGATTGAGGACTTCCCCAGGTTTGCCTACAGGTATGTAATCCAGGAACGTCAGCAGATATGATGTTTGATTCTTGGAGGCTGCGGTTCAAAATTGGTGTCCCCAAACTGCTGGCAAAACTGCCAATGAATTATTTTTTTTTTTTATTTTGACAGATAATTTTTTTAGATTTGTGCTAGCAAATGTACTTCACATTTCTCAGTATAGAAGATTTTGATTAATAATAACCCACATGGAGACAGAAACTCAAGAAAATGATTAATCTGTATATTTCGACCCTCTTCTGGGCTTCTCTTCAGCAGAAGGGGTCGAAATATACAGATCAATCAACCACTTAAGTTATTCACAGAAGTTTTTAAATAAAATTAACTTTGGCTTCGTTTTCAGACCCTTATTTAGTAATCGCCAGAATTAATGACGATTTAGTCACAGCTAATTAATAGTTCCTTTTCCTGTAATACTTCCTTAAAAATTTAGGAGTCCTGGGTTGACACCGAGCCGTAGGTAGTTTCCCTGAACTATTATCACACTTTTAACGGATACAGCTAATATGCTTCTCGTGTTGGCCGGCAGAGGCCTGATGCTGGACACAGCTCGACACTTCCTGCCAGTGAGCAAGATCGAGGAGACGCTGGACTTAATGGCCATGAACAAGTTCAATGTCTTCCATTGGCACATCGTGGATGACCAGAGCTTCCCTTATGTCAGTGCTGCCTTCCCTGACCTCAGGTATGTGTATACTCACCTATTTGTACTCACCTATTTGTGGTTGCAGGGGTCGATTCATAGCTCCTGGCCCCGCCTCTTCGCTGATTGCTACTAGGTCCTCTCTCTCCCTGCCCCATGAGCTTTATCATACCTCGTCTTAAAACTATGTATGGTTCCCGCCTCCACTACGTCACTTTCTAGGCTATTCCACGGCCTGACTACTCTATGACTGAAGAAATACTTCCTAACATCCCTTTGATTCATCTGAGTCTTCAACTTCCAATTGTGACCTCTTGTGTCTGTGTCCCTTCTCTGGAACATTCCGTCTTTGTCCACCTTGTCTATTCCGCGCAGTATTTTATATGTCGTTATCATGTCTCCCCTGACCCTCTTTTCCTCCAGTGTCGTCAGGCCGATTTCCCTCAACTGTTGCACTTTCTCTAATTTTTTGACGTGCTTGACTAGGTGTGGATTTCAAACTAGGGCTGCATACTCCAGTATGGGCCTGACGTAAATAGTATACAGAGTCTTGAACGAATCCTTACTGAGGTATCGGAACGCTATCCGTAGGTTTGCCAGGCGCCCGTATGCTGCAGCAGTTATCTGATTGATGTGCGCCTCAGGAGATATGCTCGGTGTTATACTCACCCCCAGATCTTTTTCCTTGAGTGAGGTTTGCAGTCTTTGGCCATTTAAACTATATTGTGTCTGCGGTCTTCTTTGCCCTTCCCCAATCTTAATGACTTTGCATTTGGCAGGGTTAAACTCAAGGAGCCAGTTGCTGGACCAGGCTTGTAGCCTGTAGAGGTCTCTTTGTAGTCCTGCCTGATCCTCATCCGATTTGATTCTTCTCATTAACTTCACATCATCTGCAAACAAGGACACTTCTGAGTCTATCCCTTCCGTTATGTCATTCACATATACCAAGAACAGCACAGGTCCTAGGACTGATCCCTGTGGAACCCCGCTTGTCACAGGCGCCCACTCTGACACCTCGTCACGTACCATGACTCGTTGTTGCCTCCCTGTCAGGTATTCTCTGATCCATTGCAGTGCCTTTCCTGTTATGTGTGCCTGATCCTCTAGCTTTTGCAGTAACCTCTTGTGAGAAACTGTGTCGAAGGGCTTCTTGCAGTCCAAAAAATGCAGTCGATCCACCCCTCTCTCTCTCTTGTCTTACTTCTGTCACCTTGTCATAAAACTCCAGTAGATTTGTGACACAGGATTTTCCTTCCCTGAAACCGTGCTGGTTGTCAATTTTACACTTGTTTCTTTCAAGGTGCTCCACCACTCTCCTCCTGATGATCTTCTCCATGACTTTGCATACTATACACGTTAGTGATACAGGTCTGTAGTTTAGTGCCTCATGTCTGTCTCCCTTTTCAAAAATTGAGACTACATTTGCCATCTTCCATACCTCACGGAGTTGCCCAGTTTCAAATGATGTGTTGAAGATCTTTGTTAATGGCACACACAGTATCTCTGCTCCCTCTTTGAGGACCCACGGAGAGATGTTGTCTGGTCCCACCGCCTTTGAGGTGTCAAGTTCGCATAGCAGCTTCTTCACCTCCTCCTTGGTTATATGTACCTCATCCAGCACTTGCTGGTGCACCCCCCTGTTCTGATTTCCTGGAGTCCTACTGGTTTCCAATGTAAATACTTCTTTAAATCTCGTGTTGAGCTCCTGACATACCTCTCGGTCGTTTCTTGTGAACTCCCCATCACCCTTCCTCAGTCTGATTACCTGGTCCTTGACTGTTGTTTTCCTCTTGATGTGGCTATACAACAGCTTCGGGTCAGATTTGACTTTCGATGTTATGTCATTTTCGTATTGCCGCTGAGCCTCCCTTCTTATCTGTGCATATTCGTTTCTGGCTCTTCGGCTAATCTCTTTATTTTTCTGAGTTCTCTGTCTTCTGTACCTTTTCCATTCTCTAGTACACCTAGTTTTTGCCTCCCTTCACCTTTGGGTGAACCAAGAACTCGTTCTGTTCTTCCCATTATTTCTGTTTCCCTTGGGAACAAACCTCTCCTTTGCCTCCTTGCATTTTGTTGCCACATAGTCCATCATTTCTTGTACAGGTTTTCCTGTCAGTTCCCTCTCCCACTGAATGTCTTGCAGGAAGTTCCTCATGCCTGAGTAGTTCCCCCTTTTGTAGTTTGTTTTTTCCCAACCTATTCCTGCTACTCTCTCCACTTGAAGCTCAACTATGTAGTCGAAGCACAGAACTACATGATCACTAGCTCCCAGGGGCCTTTCATACATGATATCCTCGATGTCCGAACTACTCAAGATGAATACAAGGTCCAGTCTTGCTGGTTCATCCTCTCCTCTCTCTCTGGTAGTGTCTCTTACATGTTGATGCATGAGGTTTTCCAGTACCACATCCATCATCTTGGCTCTCCATGTTTCGGGACCCCCATGAGGCTCCAGGTTTTCCCAGTCAATCTCCTTGTGATTGAAATCACCCATAACTAGTAACTTAGCTCCCCCCATGTGTGCTCTCCTGGCCACCTCGGCTAGTGTGTCGAGCATTGCTCTGTTGCTCTCATCGTATTCTTCTCTTGGCCTCCTGCAGTTCTGTGGTGGGTTGTACATTACTGCAATTATCACCTTATGTCCCTCAGACTGGATTGTTCCTACTAAGTAGTCCCTTTCGCCCATGCCATCTATTCCTTCCATTTTCTCAAAACCCCACTGGTTTTTAATGAGCAGTGCAACTCCTCCTCCACCTCTCCTCCCTCTGTCTTTCCTGAGGATTTGATATCCGGATGGAAAGATTGAATCTGTTATTATTCTGGTGAGTTTTGTTTCTGTGAGTGCTATTATGTCTGGGGATGTCTTCTTGATTCTTTCATGCCACTCCTCATACTTATTTGTTATTCCATCTGCATTTGTATACCACACCTTCAACTTCTTTTCTAAGACTGTGGTCTGGGAGGTATATTGGGGTTGGGGAAGTGGGAGACCTGATAAGGAACAATGGGTGGCTGCTGTGTGCTGTGTGTGTGTGTACTCACCTATTTGTACTCACCTATTTGTGGTTGCAGGGGTCGAGTCCTAGCTCCTGGCCCCGCCTCTTCACCGGTTGCTACTGTGTGTGTGTGTGTGTGTGTGTGTGTGTGTGTGCGTGTGTGTGCGTGTGTGTGTTTGTGTGTGTGTGTATGTGTGTGTGTGTGTGTGTGTGTGTGTGTTTGTGTGTGTGTGTGCACTCATCTAGTTGTGGTTGCAGGGGTCGAGTTATAGCTCTTGGCCCCGCCTCTTCACTGGCCGCTACTGTGTCACTCTCCCTGCACCATGAACTTTATCATACCTCTGCTTAAAGATATGTATGGATCCTGCCTCCACTACATCGTTTCCCAAACTATTCCACTTCCTGACTACTCTGTGGCTGAAGAAATAGTACCTCCTAACATCCCTGTGATTTATCTGTGTCTTCAACTTCCAACTCTGTCCCCTTGTTGCTGTGTCCCATCTCTGGAACATTCTGTTTCTGTCCACCTTGTCAATTCTTCTCAGTATTTTATACGTCGTTATAATGTCCTTCCTATCTCTCCTGGCATCCAGTGTCGTCAGGTTGATTTCCCTTCACCTCTCCTTGTAGGACATACCCCTTAGCTCTGGGACTAGTCTTATTGCAAGCCTTTGCACTTTCTCTAGTTTCTTTACGTGCTTGGCTAGATGTATGTTCCAAACTGGTACTGCATACTCCAGTATGGGCCTACACAGTGTACAGGGTCCTGAACAATTCCTTATTAAGATGTCGGAATGCTGTTCTTAGGTTTGCTAGGCGCCCATATGCTGCAGCAGTTATTTTGCTGATGTGCGCCTCAGGAGATGTGCCTGGTGTTATACTCACCCAAAGATCTTTTTTCTTGAGTGAGGTTTGTAGTCTCTGGCCCCCTAGACTTCCATTCCCTAGCACACTTGGTTTTGGCATCCCTGTACCTTTGGGTGAACCATGGGCTCATCCTGGCTTTTTCATTATTCCTGTTACCATTAGGTACAAGCCTCTCCTCAGTCTCCTTGCATATTGTTGTCACGTATTCTATCATCTTGTTTACTGACTTCCCTGCCAGTTCTGTCCCTCTGAACCCCATTCAGGAAGTTCTTCATTCCTGCATACCCCCCCCCCCTTCCCTTCTAGTTTGGCTTCATTTGTCTGGCTCTTCCTGCTCCTCCCTCCACATGTAACCCTACTGTGTATTCGAATCTTAAAACCACACGATCGCTGGCCCCAAGGGGTCTTTCATATGTGATGTCCTCAATATCTGCACTATTCAAGGTGAATACTAGGTCCAATCTCGTTGGTTCACCCTCTCATCTCTCTCTGGTAGTGTCCCTTACGTGTGGGTACGTGAAGTTTTCCAGTACCACCTCCATCATCTTAGCCTTCCACGTTTTTTGGCACCCATGTGGTTCCAAGTTCTCCCAATTGATTTCCTTGTGGTTAAAGTCACCCATGATCAGTAGCTTTGCCCTGTTTGCATGAGCCCTTCTTGCCACTTTAGCCAGTGTGTCAATTATCGCTCTATTACTCTCATTATGCCTCGTCCTTGGCCTCCTGCTGTTCTGTGGTGGGTTATACATGACTGCAATTACCACCTTGGGACCTCTAGACTGAAGCATTCCTACTATGTAATCCCTTGCTTCTCCACTGTCTCCTCTCTCCAGCTCATCAAAATCTCATCAGTTTTTTTGACCAGCAGTGCCACTCCTCCACCCCCTATGTTCCCTCTGTCTTTTCTCAGGATCTGATATCCCACTGGAAAGATGGCATCTGTCATCATGCCAGTGAGCTTGGTTTTTGTGAGAACTGTGATGTCCGGTGATGCCTCTGAGTTTTTCATGCCACTCCTCCCACTTATTTGTTATTCCATCAGTGTTGGTGTACCATACCTTCAGTTTTCTCTCTAACACTATGTTTTGTGGGGTCTGTGAGGGTGGGGGACCTGGCAGTGTACTGTGGAATTCTTTAGCTGAGTGTTGGGTGGGAGATGTGGGTGTGGATTATGGTTTGTGTTGGGATAGCACGATTGGTTGTAGGGTTCTGGGGATGGTTCTGTGTGTGCTTGCTATTGTTGCTCTGTCCTGCTCTGGTTGTCCTCTGCTGATTCTGTCCTTGTCTCTCCTCCTAGCTCCTTTCGCTTTTGTGTAGTCTCCCTCAGCTGCTGTCATTCTTTTTGTGTTCTGTCTCAGTCTAGGAACACCCTCTTGTATTCTGCCGAGTTCTTCAACCTTGGTTTCTCTTGGAGGATCCTGTTCTGCACTGTTTCTATCCTGAAAATCAGCTTGATCGGTCGTTTTCTCCCCTTCAAATACCCACTTAGTCTCTGAAAATTTACAATCTTGGACATGTCCTCTTCACCTATTTCTGTGATGATGTTCTCAATCTCCATTCTTTCTGCCTGCCACCTTTCACTGTGTCCTTCCCTCATTCTCCTGAGGCCCATGAATAAACACTGACTTCTCCCTCTCCTCCTCCTATTGCCTTTTCCTCTGTGACTCTGGTCCCGGTCTGTACATGGCCATTTTCTCCCTTTTTTTTCTGTAGCTCTTGGTGGCATGTTCATGCCACTGCATTTGACCTATCCCCCTCTATGCCTGCATCCAGCTGCTCTCCCCCTTCATTCCTTGGCCCTGCTTGGTAGGCTGATATGGCCTTGGTGTAAGTTATACCTCCTTCCTTTCCATTTGGTCTCCCAGCTTCATATGCTGTGTCGTCTCTGGCCAATACCCCTGTAACTTGCTTCAGCCTGCTTACCTCATCTTCTATGACTCTTATCATGCCTACTGCAGTTTCAACTTGAGACTCCCATTTCTTCTTTTCCTCCTCTAACCTCATTTTCAATTTCACAAAAAAGCTCTGTCTCCATTTTTGTAGAGAGTTCTCCTAGTTTTCTCTCCCACTCTTGTTCCACCCTTTTGCAATGCTCTTCCATCCACCCCTCCCTACCAGAACCATTCTCCCCCAATCCCTGGGTTCTTCGAGTCCCTCTCTGACCCACTATTTTTTTTTTAGGGGAGAAGGGAGAGGTAGAGGGGAAAGTGAGGGAGAGAGATGGGGAGAGAGAGAGAGAGGGAGAGAGAGAGAGAGAGAGAGAGAGAAGGGAGAGGTAGACGAGAAAGAGAGAGATGGTGTGTGTGTGTGTTTGTGTACTCACCTAAATGTAGTTGCAGGGGTCGAGACTCCGCTCCTGGCCCTGTGTGTGTATGTGTGTGTGTGTGTGTGTGTGTGTGTGTGTGTGTGTGTGTGTGTGTGTGTTTGTGTGCGCTCTTGGAGGTGGGAGGGAGGAGACACTGGCAGGGGAAAGATAGGTAGTGGAGAAGGAGGAAAAGGAAGAAGAAATGGAAGGTGGAGAGGAAGAGAGAGGGAGAAAGATTGGTAGGTGTGTGTGTGTGTATGCTGTGAGACAACACACTTCCTGTGTGTATCATTGTTTATGAACGCGGATTTAAGTATCTATGTGTTGTCTTTTTTATATAAATTTATATATGCCTAATTTACTGCTTATATTAATATGAATAATGCTTTGTGTATGCTCTTCTACTTGTTTAAGGAGATCAAACCCCTTGTTCCCGAGGGATGAGTTTCCCGTCGTATTCCAACACTTAAGATTACTTTCAGGTCATACTTCATCATAAGTATAAACTTCACGTCATACTTCATCACACAGAACGGGTTTTAAAAAATGAAATCTGTTCACTTAAGTTGAGAGGGTTCAGTAGCGTGCTGGGTTGGACGAATGTGTGATTCGTTTCACTGTCTGTTTGTGATATGACACCAGTTTGCTGGACCGTTCTTGGAATCTTGTGGCCAGTGTATGAGCTAGTCAGGATTTAATTCACTATATTAAAAATTCACAGGTAGGGTAGTCTAATCGCGACCAAGTCTCAGGCGCTCTCTTTATGAAAGACTCAGTTTACACTCTTATATTTAAGTTAGGATCCTGTTGTCCTCTTCCCCAGGATGCTACCCACAACAGACAACCACGTCTTTGGTATCTTTTGAATGCTAGGTGAACAAGGACAGTAGGTGTTTGATTTCGTGTCCCTCCTCTCCTTTGAATTACCAGATTCCTTTCGGTTGTAAGGTGAATAGTCTACCACCGTACAAGTCACCAAACAGGACAATCCGTTTTTATACATCCCATACTCCAAAATCGTAGTATTTTATAGTCCGGAGATTGTTCCCCAACTTTCTCTCTGATCAGCAGTGAAGAAATACACTTGCTCATTTGACAGGTATGTAGGGACGCAGCCACACATACTACAGTACCTGTCACCTCAGGTGAACTTGGGTATAGTGTAAGAAATTATCAAAAGCAAAAACTAAGTTTGTATGAAGATAATGCAGCGAAGTCTTTTAATGGTGTATATATGTTGGTAGAATTACCTACAATATGTAAAGTAAAAGGACACAAGTGGAACTAATGTGATATTTTATTATGGCAACGTTTCGCTCTTCAGGAGCTTTGTCAAGCCGTAACGGCTTGACAAAGCTCCTGGAGAGCGAAACGTTGCCACAATAAAATGTCACATTAGTTGCACTTGGGTCATTTTCTTGTAATGGTACAAGGCTTCACCCCCAAATGCCCATTTTATGTACATGATCAAGTCCACTCGTAGGCGAAACGTTGCACCATTAAAGGACCTCACAGCATTGTCTTTTTATCACTTGTTGGCGTTACGCCTTCTGAGTACATACAGTTAATTCCATCTCATTTTAGTTAACTAAAAAAATTACTGATTCGAACTCCATAATTGCTGCCTGGTGCAAGTGTACTGAGTAAGCCTATCATTTCTCAGAATGAGGAATTTCATCTTACTCAGGGCAACGATTATAGCAGCATGTATGCTGGGTGCTAGGCAGCTAAAATAGGCTTGGAACCAATAAAAAGTATATCTTGGTTATCAGAATGCCTTATTTTACAAGTGTCGTTAATCATCAACAATGTAGTAGCCTATTTTATTGTTAGGTTTCCGCTATGGAAATGATGATTATAATTAGATTGTTGTAAATAGGCTGGTATTTTTATAATAAAGATAAATTTTCTTCCCAGAGTTATCAATAAAGACAGTTTTATTGTTGAATTATGATAGTTTTGAAGTTATGATTGCAATGAGCTACTACTGATGGTGCTATTAATCAAACTGAGAGCAAAATGGAAACGTAGATTATTAAAAATACAAATAAACTTGTACAGGTCAACGAGAATCAACAGGAAAATCAAAATATTGATCATGATACATCAACACCTGTAACTGCACGAATCGTTACACCATCTTCAACATTATTATGAACATAGGTGTAGTCTACTGGCCTGCACACTTGGCTGTAGCACGATAACCACGTAGGAAAAAGCAAAAAGGCAGCAAAGTAAATATACTTATATTTCCTTCATTATATAGTATCAGGTATGCACAAAATATACAGCAGATATGTACAATAAGGCAAATGCAAACAAGAGACACAATGAGAACAGTTGCGACCAGACTGGAAGGGAAGTTCGCCGAAGTTGATTAACGAGTGTCCCACATCGTTTCACAACTTTGGCTGGTTTCCTTGTGATTGGCTGGTTGAACCAAGGTACTAGTATAAAGATGGGGCCCCTACTCGTTATACTCTTAGCACCTGGTTCGCTGGTTGGGACGACATGCCTGTATGGGTGTGTGTGACATACGCCGAATAAAAAGTAACATATCCTTAGCATTACACAAACATCAACACATGCAACTGCATCAATATTCTTACCATCTTCAACATCAACACCTGTGACTGCACCTATAGTCTTACCTACAGTATCCGAGCAAACTTAACACCTACTGTTGTTGTTCACTTAGTGGTAAATGGAAACCCAGAAGTTGGTGGACTGTTGTGGATCGCATCCTGGGGTAGGACCTAAGAACTTCAACGGGAATAAATAACTGGTTAGTTATTGATGAGAAGCTACACTGCAGAACGAGCTTAAACTGGGAAGACCTGCAGCTGTGTAGTGCTTTATCATTTCGTGACTTTATGAAACCCTATGAAGAACGAAAGTTTAGCGTCTTAAAAGCAGATTCTGCAACTTGTTGTCTATATTGTTGTTGTTGTTGGCTTTCTTGGATTATCCTGGATTATTAACCCTCCTGGGTAAATATTTCCAACAATCATCAGCTATGTTCTTCAGACACGCTCCGTTCAGGAGAAAAGGTACCTTGATGTCCATGAGAGACTCTTGATTCAAGGAACTGGACTTATCCTCCCCTTCCTTTGATCAACCTTTAGGTCTTCCATACTCAGGTGTATTATGATCCCTACGGATTTAGCGCTTGCCATCAGCTCCCCCGATTAAATTAAACTAAAATTTAGGTCCCCGCTCTCATGTCTGTTTTCTCGTCTTATTGTAGTAAGAATGGTGCCTACAGTCCCATCCACGTGTACACTGCTGAGGACGTGGCCAGCGTGGTAGAGTATGCCAGGCTCAGGGGCATCCGAGTCCTTCCAGAGTTTGACACTCCAGGTATTTATACGCTTTTGGGGAATTGTTGTGATAGCCTAAATTACGTTGTAGTGTTAGGCTAGGTTCAGTCGGAGAGATATTCTAGGTTAAATTGGAAGAATAAGTTAGGTTAAGCTGTAGGGATATTTTAGATTTTCACAATTTAGCTGTGTACAGGTTGTCTACAAAGTTATTTCCCAATTTCATCACTTATTACAATATTTTATGGGAAATGAAAATCCATTTCTCTAATTTTCCTAACATATTACGATATTAGTGCCATAAATTCTTGAAATCGGGAATTGGCTCTGTAGACAACTTGTACATGGTTAAATTTTTATGATGACAACCTAGGATATCCCAACAACCTAACCCAGGATATCCCTGGCAGTTAGAATGGGTGTGGGCACTTCCGTCAAATATCCCACTTTAAACGTCTTTTATCAATTTGTGAAAGATAATGCTTTCCATCTCCCAGTAATTGATATTAAAACACTAAATGCTAAAATATATGCTACCTAAAAGTCACACAGAATATGTTGGCTAATAGATGGAATAAACCTGATTATTGAGCTTGTTGCTGTGTGAAGGTGTGAGAGGTAGACTTGGTGAGGCTGTATAATTTAGACGACCGTGAAACTTTATACAACATTTTCATGTTTGAGTCCTGTTGTAAATAAAATTTGCAAGCGGAAAATTCTTCGTGAAGAGCGTTTAAATCCATAATGATTATGCATTTCATTGAATTTTTTTATTATAAATTGTTAACTTACAATGTTAATACTAGCGTACCAAACTTAATATAAATAAATAGCTCACTTAATAAGATAATATATGTTGCTTGACACAACACTTGGTGTTGGTAACTGGGACGACAAGGAAGCAATTGAATATAAAGTCAAGCAGTAGACACAAAGCCTTTTTTTTTTTATGTTTTCTCTGCAAAACATGAATTTATACCTAAACCATGCACTTGACAATGGTCCAGGACCGACTAAAACTTTGTATAAAGTTTCCTCACCAAGTGTCGTTTTAATAATGAATTGATGAGAGATGACAATCTTGTTCTAACAAAGGTTCTTCATGCTCTCTTCTCACTTATTATTATGCCCGTTAACCCCTGCAAGATAGTGCTTTCATATTGGCTACTCTCACCCTGATCGGATTAATGCCCAAAATATTTCCCAGGTGCTATATATATATATATATATATATATATATATATATATATATATATATATATATATATATATATATATATATATATATATATATATATATATCCCAAACCAAGCGATACAGGATGCAAACAACCTCGGGGGGAGTAGGTTGCAATCAACACATCATCAGGAACTTGGAAAATTGCAGAAATAGGAGAATGTCTAACCAAGTACGTTCACAAAGGACCGTCTTCACTGGAGAAAATGAGTGAGGGAGAGAGAGAGAGAGAGAGAGAGGAGAGAGAGAGAGAGAGAGAGAGAGAGAGAGAGAGAGAGAGAGAGAGAGAGAGAGAGAGAGAGAGAGAGAGAGAGAGGAGGGTACAGGAAATGCCCCCAGGCACAACAGTGCCCACAGCCAGAAGGATGAATATTATAGAATTAGAAAAATCCCAAAAGCATTGAAATTGTAACGGCATAAACGAAATTAACGTGGCACTAATAAAAAATTCGGTCATATTCAGTTACGACATCAATAGCTTTACAAACATAAATATATTGTCAGTGACATAGAAATCAGTGGCAATTATAGGGTAGCCTCCCATGGGACAACGTGTGCATTTAAAATTACGAGAAAATAGTATCATTTAAAGGGGAGACTTCTAGAAGCTTTGTAAAGGGAATAGGGCTCATTATAATAAACTCATTTAAAGAGGGAGTCATCTGCAATAGCAAGAAAGACACCCACATATATTGAACCAATATAATTCTGAGGCAAACTCTGGCTCAACCTTCAGAAACTGCAAGGAAAATAGGCCCTAATTCCTTTGTGTGGCACTACATTTAAGACAGTCTAATGCATTCATTGTGGAAAATATTTTAATTTTCCGAAGCTATAGTGCCTAATAGGTGCTTAATGTGTCGATATGGGTCAAAAATATATTTCAAAATAGGATAGAACCAAGAGTTCCCTTTGCGCATGCGCGGATGTGCGGGGGTAGAGGTCGACTCGGGGCATGGGAGAGGCGGCAGTGTTTTGAATGGGTTTAAGAGGCTGTGAAAACATGGGACCAGGAAATTGGCGTTCACGGCGGCCTAAGGATTAATATAGGCCTCACTTCATAATAGGAAGTGTCGTGACTGTCCCTGGTGAAGAGTGAGGGAACGTGATTGACGGCACCGCTGTAAATAAGGTGGTAAAATGAGTGAATAATGGTAGGACCGGTGGCGACTGGCACGTCGCCATGGACTGTGTCCCGGGGAAAAATACCCGTGAGTTAATCATCACTCATCGGTCTCAAATCTTAATGGAGTGGCCTCCAATGTGTATAATAATTATGAGACATTAAACCGTCTTGTAAATCGTAATGTAATCAGTGATAATAACACTAAGTTAAGGAATCGTTGAAGCGATATGAACTGCCATTCCCAGAGTGTGTGTGCACATGTTTACCTCGTTGTTCCTGTCCCGAGGACAGTGAAGGCTTTATGGAGTCACGACTTCTAAACCGGGACAAACCGACGGATACCTCGTCCTGCTGGAATAAGAACCGTGTCGGTGTAGCAGGACATCGAAATGAGATGGTGAATGGAAGAAATAAGGAGTATCAATCACCCACAGTTAAGTAACCCTTCTAGTTATAACAGACTGATACTGGCCAGTTAGGTATGTTGTAATTGGATAGGTTATGAGTGATCCAGCTACATCAAGTGACCACCAGAGAATATCTGGTAAGTGGTGAGATTATGTACAAGTGTTTTTCCTTGATGGATATATCCATGTGTAACCTACACCCCCCCCTTCATTCAGTTACACTAATATAATCTATACAGTCCACAATTAATTAGTAGCACCGTACTTGTGGGTGCTATCCAATCCATACTGGTCTCGGATAGATATGGATAAGACTGTGAGGTCGAAGGAACCACCTGCCGTGACCATGGGTGGTTAAGTTTTCTCACATGTCTACACGGGGTGACTACGGTAAACAATATGGTTGTCTCCCAATGAGTTTACTTGTATGCATGTAATGTTGAGGTACATAAAGGTAATCACCCTAGAAAACTTTCCATATTAATATAAGAGCCCAATTTTAGACTGTGTACTATTGCCTCAACTAAAAATGCATCTAATCGAACAACCCATCACTGATATTGTATACTGATTGCCTATTATGCTTAATAATTGTCGATTCTGCAATATTCCTTTCAACCCAGGAGGAACAAGAGAAGATGACTCTTGCTTCCCACCAATTTGCCTGGTTATTACAAGCTCTAACATGGTTGAAAATTGCGTTCCACTCCTGTGCTATAAGTATCGAATAACGGTACTGGGACATTCTCACTTCCAATGGTTTTCCCATTTGTCTCAAATAGGAGAGACTGTAACCGTTGCAACCAACTTTGTAGACACCATCAACACGTCGTTGGGGTGAATTCTTTATCAGGATACTTTTAACAGTAAATGAATTTTTAAATACTACTTATATGTTAAATCTTCTAAGAGTATTCGACAGGACAGATAAATTCTCGTTATATGGAAGGACCAGCACATTCTTGATCTGAGGTGTTATCCTACATTCTGTTCTATAATAAGTTTTCTTAGCTGCCAGCAAGGAAGATTCCACAAATACCTTAGGATACTGCAGTTTCATGCCAGTGTCAAATATTTTCCTTATTTCTTCATCTAGGAACTCCAGACTGCACACTATATGCTCTCAAAAACATAGTAAGAAATACATTCCTTTTGACTCTAGTCTCATGGTTGGAGTAGTAGTGAATGTATGAGCACACATTGGTGGCCTTCCTATGTACTGTAAACTTAAACTTTCTATCAACCAGGTGTATCAACACATCTAAGAACTGAAGTTAACAGTCCACCTCTTTCTTCATGGTGAATTTAACAGACGGGACTAAAGCATTAATCCTTTACCAGGCCTGGTAAAGGGTAATTACCCCTTTACCAGGCCTGGTAAAGGGTAATTACCCCTTTACCAGGCCTGGTAAAGGGTCATTACCCCTTTTCAGGCCTGTTAAAGCATTAAGGCTTGGTAAATATGTATCATGGGCCATATCATTTGGCCAAAGACTCAAGATGTCATCAATATATCTGAACCATTTAGCTCTATCTGGTAGGATATCTTTCATCAGTCTGGCCTCGAAAAATTCCATATACAGATTGCTCAGTAATAGGAACAACAGATTACCCATCGCCATTCCCTGTTTTTGAGCATAGTATTTCCCCTCAAACTCAAACTTGCAATCAACAATACACAGCTTGATCAATTTAATAATGGTATTTTTATCAAAATGCAAAGAGAACTCATCCAATTCTTCTTCCAAATAAGATAGCAAATCAGGAACAGGGACTCTCGTGAACAACACAGTGACATCAAAACTTGTTAGTTCTGATGTCACTGCATTGTTCACGAGAGTCCCTGTAACATCAAAACTTGTTAGTTTTGATGTCACCGAGATGTTCACGAGAGTTTCTGCTCCTGACTTGCTATCTTATTTGGAAGAAGAATTAGATGAGCTCTCTTTGCCTTTTGATAGCTGCCTTGCTGGCAGCTAAGAAAACTTATTATAGAACAGAACCTAGGATAACACCTCAGACCAAAACTGTGCTGGTCCTCCCATATGACGCGAATTTATCTATCCTGCCAAATGCTCTTAGAAGATTTAATATACAAGTAGTATTTAAAAATTCATGGACTATTAGTAGCATCCTGATAATGAATGCACCACAACAACGTGTTGGTGGTGTCTACAGAGTTGGTTGCAACGGTTGTAGTCTCTCCTATTTGAGACAAACTGGAAAATCATTGGAGGTGAGAATTTCCCAGCACCGTTATTCGATATGTATAGCACAGGAGTCGAACGCGATTTTCAACCAAATTAGAGCTTGTAATAACCCAGCAAATTGGCAGGAAGCAAGAGTCATCCTCTCTTGTTCCTCCTGGCTTAAAAGCAATATTGTAGAATCGACAATTAAACATGATAGGCAGTCAGTATACAATATCACTGATGGGCTATTCAAATTAGATGCATTTTTAGTTGAGGCAATAGTTCTCAGTCTAAAATTGGGCATCATATGAATGCATAAGACTATCTTAAAGGAATTAGGGTCTATTTTTCCTGCAGTTTCTGAAGGTTGAACCAGAGTTTGCTCAGAATTATGTGGGTTGAATATCTGTGGCCATCTTTCTTGTTATTGCAGATGCCTCCCTCTTTAAAGGAGTTTATTTTAATGATCCCTGTTTCCTTTACATATCTTCTAGAAGTCTCTCCTTTAAATGTTATCATTTTTCTCGACACTTTAAATGCACACGTTGTCCCGTGGAAGGCTACCCTATAATTGCAAGTGACTTCTCTATCACTGACAATATATTTTAGTTTGTAAAGGTTTTGATGTGATAGTGGAATATGACCTAATTATTTATTATTGCCACGTTTACTTCGTTTACGCTATTACAATTTCAATGCTTTTGTGATTTTTCTTATGCTATAATATTCATTCTTCTGGCTGTGGGCACTGTTGTGCCTGGGGGCTTTTCCTGTACCCTCTCCTCTCTCTCTCTCTCTCTCTCTCTCCCTCACTCACTTTCTCCAGTGAAGACGGTCCTTTGTGAACGTACTTGTTTGGACATTCTCCTCTTTTCTGCAATTTTGCAAGTTCCTGATGATGTGTTGATTGCAATATGAAAGGCCTAGAGCTATCATTCTACTCCCCCCGTGGTTGTTTTGCATTATATATATATATATATATATATATATATATATATATTATATATATATATATATATATATATATATATATATAATATATATATATATATATATAATATCACACATTTACATTACGGTTATCATACAGGTCACACACAGTCGTGGGGTCCTGGTGAACCTGGTCTACTTACACCATGTTACAGGTGAGTCAAGACAATAATACTGATTTAGCCCACCAGGGCGGCATTGTTTTAATTATTGATAGTATCATATGAAGCTAAAACGATGTTTGTCACAAGCC